TTATTATTCCTAAGACCAGAGATAGATTGGAAATTTATCTATTTTTCATGCCTTTTTTCTTTTTCTTTTACTTTATCTCACTTTTTCTTTTCCTTTTTTTATAATTTGTATTTTCAATTTTCTTTTTCATTTCTAATTTTTAACTTTGTAATCTTAAAATTTCAATAAAATACTATTAAAAAATTTTAAAAAATAAAAAGCCAAATAGCACATTTTTATAGATATCCTGATTCTTCAAGCAATGTGAAGTTTCAAAGATACAACATTTACCCAAGGTTTTGGTGGAAAGGTGAGATATAAGTTTACTTTAAAATAATCAATATTGAGAATAGATGAAAATGGTTCTACAACAACCACAACAGACGCTGAAGTTCACTGTTCCAACATCAAATCTCTAGGGCAGCATTCAGAATTGAGCTCTGATTGTATCTTCTTCCTTATTCTTCAATTGACTTAAAAGGCACTTTTCTCTTTCACACAAAACCCTCTGCTATGCTTTATTTACTCTTTCCAAATACTATCCAAATTTTCTTCTTTAAAGAGGAGAAAAATAATCAGGAAAATTGTAGTGGTTGGAATATGAAGTTGTTGCAGTCTCTTAATTACACAGTATTAAGGATACTGTTATTCATTAATCAATTATCTCCTGAAGTTTGCAGCCTCCCTGGATTCCCACACTTCAGTTAAGGTATGATGTGAGAAACTACAAGGTATGCAGGACATCAAAGGACACTTCTGTTTGATGAAGCTTTGAATAAACCACATCCCCAAAAACCAAAAGATGAAGTCAACTGCCCCTCAAACATCAAACAGTGGAGCAGAGGGGTTGGGCTGCTTCTCATAGATAACTAAAGTAGATTCTGTGCAGGTAAGTAATTGATGAGAACCACTGAGGTGAAATGAAGTCAGTTTGCATGCCCCTAGATGTGGCTTTATTCATATCCCTTGTGGCTTGATTCAGATCAAAAAGCATGAACAGCCAAGAAAGTCACACAGTCATGGAAAGTTGTACACAAGAAATAACCCAAAGCAGCAGCGGTCATGTCCAAAATACTATCTTCCTTTCCACCCCCAATTACTAATGACTATCTAAAGCACCCTGAAAATAAAACAGAAAGAGTTAAGCCTCTTTCACAGGGGACAAAAACTTGGGTGGAATTGGAGAGGGATTTTGAAATAGCATTAAGGTATAGCTTGAAATGTCCTATCAGTTAACAAAGACAATGGTGTG